GGGGAGTGGAACTGGGAGGAGACTTGACAGAAATTGCTTTGTTTTTTACTTTATTGTTAGTTAATTGTTGAATGTAGTAGCGCAGCAAACACACCAGACTGGGAGAGCAGCAGGAGTTCTCATTTTAAACCTAAATAACTGCGAGTCAGCCATGAATTATCAACAGCAGGTAAGTTTCTATCTATCTATACTGACTGGACACTTTTACCTTCAGCGCTGCTTTGATTCTTTAATTCCTCCTGCCATTCAACAAGGTGCTGGGAACATTTCTCAGAGATTATGGTCCATGTTGACACGATAGCGTCACACAGTTCCCCATCCATGAGGTGTCCCCGAATCCCAAAGATGCTCTTTTGACTGAAATCTCGTAACATTTAGTTCAGAGGACTCAATATCATGTTCATGAAACTAGTTTAAGATGATTTGAGCTTCCAGATTTATTTTCAGTAGACGGGTACACATGCTGGTTGTGGTGTTTAAACGGTGCTTAGCTGGTGCTTAGGCCCAAAGTGTGCCAGAAAAGATCCACCACACCATTAAACCACTAGAAGCCTGAACTGTTGGTTTATGGAGGATGGATCCATGCTTCCATGCTGTTTATGCCAAATTGTGACCCTAATGCCCGGATGTTGGAGGAAAAGTTGAAACTCACTGAATCAGGCAACGTTTTGCCCCTCTTCTATTTCTCAGTTTTAGTGAGTCTCTGTGAACTTTAGCCTCAGTTTCTTGTTCTTAGCTGACAGGATTGTTACTCAGTGCGGTCTTCTGCTGCTATAGCCCATCTGTTTAAGGTTTTATGCGTTGTGCCTTTAGAGGTGCTCTTCTGCATACCTCTGCTGGTATTTGAGTTGCTGTTGCCTTTCTATCAGTTCAAAGTATTTTGACCGCTACTTTGAAACAGGGAACCACCGCTCACACTCTCTGTAAACACTAAAGACAGCTGTATGGAAAAATCCCAGAAAATCCGCATTTTCTGAAAAACTCAAACCAGCCCGTCTGGCAAATAATACAAATACAGTATAATAGTTCTGCAACATTAAATGTATTCAGATGCTGACTGAAACTGGGTAAGTTTTACCTCTGACAAGCAGATTGCCTGTACTAAAAAAACAAACGTGTCAGCCACTTTCTGTAATGTAGCTGAACCTGTTATCTGGGTACACGGGGAGTGGTAGTGGGTGGAGATGTGTCACTACTTGCTTCTTTTATTCTAATTATTAACTGTTATTAACACAGATTGATAACATTGTGTCCACTGCAAAATTTGGAGACTTGATTGAGTTTTCCTACCCACTCGGATATTCGCACTGGGCCATCTATGATGACGATGGACATGTAATCCATTTTGCGGTTGCAGGTGAGTAAAACACGTGTGTTCATTGCATTCATTAAACAGGCAAATTATTACACTAACATTTCTTGTTTCCTTTTTTTTTTCCAAGATGAGAAGCAACTAATGACAACTGTTCGTACTTATCTGCAAAAAATCGTGCCAGTATGTGGGGACCTTCTCCTTGGAGAAACCAAGATTCGCAGAGTCCCTGTTGGTGAGGTCAATGTCCCACATGGAGCCCATGCGTTGGTCAGTAACAATCGCCATGCCTTCACACCTTCAGCACCTGAGGATATGAGGCTACGCCGTGACGCCCTTCTCAATCAATCCCTTCCATATAACCTTTTTACTCTAAACTGCGAGCACTTTGCCACTTTCATACGCTACGGGAAAGCTGTGTGCAACCAGGTAATGCCGTCACTCGAAAAAACTTCTGATTATCATTTAAGATGTGGTAATACACTGGCCTTCATGTGCTTGAAATCATGCATGATAATGTTGGGACATGCTCCTAATGAGAATATGAACGGTTTCCTGGGGGATCTCCTCCTAAATCTGGACCAGAGCGTCACAGAGGACAATCTGAGGTGCAACCTGACTGTGTTGGATGGACTGAAGCATATTGTCCCACAGGTGCTCTACTGGATTTAGGTTAGGTGAGCATGGGGGCCAATCAATGGTACCAAAACCTCCCTCCAGGAACTAGCTGCATTCTCTAGCCACATGAGGTCAGACACTGTTTGCAGCAGGAGGAACCCAGCACCCACTGCACCAGCAGAGGGTCTTACAGTGGATCCAACGACTCTATCCCGATACCTAATAGCAGTCATGTGCCGTTGCCCAGCCTTTAGAGGTCTGCGTCGCTCCATGAATATACCTCCCCAGACCATCGCTAACCCACCACTAAACCGTTCATGCTGAACAATGTTACAGGCAGCATAATGTTCTCCACAGCTTCTCCAGACCCTTCTCTCATCTGTTAAAAGCACAGCAAACAAGTGATGGATCTGCCAGTATTATATGGAAAGTACCAATGTGGCTCCACAGTGCTGAGCAGTGAGCACAGGGTACACTAGTGAATGTCAGGCACTCAGATCACCCTCATGAAGTCTGATCGTGATTGTTTAGTCAGAGGCATTCACACTGTGTCCTGTTGGACATCACTTTGTAGCTTTGGCAGTTCTCATTCTGTTACTCCTTCTACAAAGGAGCAAACAACAGACCTGCTGATAGGTTAACGACTTTCTGCAGCCCTGTCTAGCTCTCCTAGAGTAACTGCCTGTCTTATGGAATCTCTTCCATGTTCTCGAGATTGTGCTGGGAAACACACTGATGTGGACTACCTATGCAACCTCTGTAGGGTCCAGATAGCACTTCATGCTATGAGTAACGACACTGACCCCAGCCAAATGCAAAAACCAGTCGTAAATAAGGAGGAGGGGAAAAATTCCAGTAGTATACCTGTAAAACCATTCCTGTTTTGGTTGTTGTCTCATTGTTGCATCTTTAATGCACCTGTTGTCAATTTCATTAACACCAAACCAGCTGAAACTGATTAACAACACTGTCTGCCACTTAAATAACCTGATCAGTATCCCAGATGTTAACAGACTTCATGCAGTACTCTGGTTAAAAAGTCTTCCTTTAAGTTGTTTGAGCAGCGTACAACATGAGAGAACATCAACAGCTTTGTCATCTGGACTGATTTATGAACTGCACTTCATATATCAGTCGGTACTGGAAATTTTACAAAACCAAATATGTTTTATATTAACAGGAAAATGGTCAGATTATTATTAGCAGTAGTAGAAGTATTGTGAGTATGAGTGCTAATCGTATTAATAACACGGTTATTCTTTCTTTAGATCCCTGCAAAACCCAAGAATGAAGAGTGCACAGGAGCAACTACAGTTTTCAAAGACATTGTCAACTCAAAGCAAACTGATTAGAAACCTTTTCATTTCTACATATATAAACTTGTGCGGTGCCTCAGTTTGGTCTTTCTGAGTCACATCACCGTAAATATCCAACATGTTCTCTTCGTCTGGCCCTCTATAGAGCTTAGCCTGGTTATTTTTTTATGAAGCCACTTATGGGATTGGCAGTATGCACTGCAAGGTTTAAACTTACTTGTTTTTTGCCCTTATTTATTCATTTGCAAATGCTTAGTTGAAACCGATAAATATTTTTTCTCAGCAAAATATCTTTAATAATTCCTCCAGAGAAAAAAACAATCTTGGGATTCATAATTTGGCCGAGCAAAAGCCCTGAAGCTATAAGGTTCACCACGACAAACCACACGCTGGCAAGCTGAAAGCACGTGATGATTATAACGCCAAAAGATAACGTGTGATAAAAAAAACAATGTAGATACTGATGTTCTACTGATGTTCTCATATAATATATCAGATATATTTTTCTGTTCAGTCACAAAACATAAACAAATTCACCTAACATTTGTTATTTGTATTTATTTACTTGTTTACTCATTTACGCTCTGAGGCTGCTGGGATCAACTGCTTCCAACAGAGAAGCTGCAGGGAGCCCTCTGGTGGATGAACTATGCAACATCAACACTCAGTGTGGTGAAGGGTGTTTCTCCCATCTTTTCTTAACTTTGAAAAAAAAAAAGGTTCCTTTAACAGCTGTTATAAATACTGATACCAATAAACATATATTGGATTAATGACCCAAGAACACCAATGGGTTGTTTCTGGTCTCAGGGATGACCACAGTGTATAAGTAGCTGATTTCCTCTCTTTGACATAATTTTATGCTGACGTTAAAAGTGTGTGCAGCTTACCTCGCTGTATAGCTGCTGTCAGTAAATGTGGTTTTATGCATATTTTATCTGAAAGCAAACTACCTGAAACAGTGTATTAAGCAAAAGTCCACTCCAAGATCTCAAACATCCACCAAAGCTGATGACAACAACAATCTTGCAATGTTAATTTGGTTTTACTGGAGTTCAGCTGAAGAAGATGATAAGGGTCAAAATGAATGCAAGTTTCTGTCCTGCACCAGAGGGATGAAGTCAGACAGCGTGTCAGCTAATTCTTCATCGTCATCCTAAACTGAGCAAGAGGATAAATCCAGCTGCTGTCCTGAGGGTGACATCTGACCCCAATCACACACTAAAGAGACCCTGTTTCTGTTTTCTAGCTGAACAGTGTGGCAACAAACATGGTGAACATGCTGCAGGGAAGCAGGTGAAATGGTGTGTAGTAAGTGCGGAGATTCTGGAGCTCCTGAGTCCACTGGGATGCTTTGGAAACAAATGTGTCCCAGTTTGTTGGGCTGGCGGCTCACCCCCTGCAGGTGCTGTCAGCACCGGCTGCACTGCAGCGCTTCCACAGCTTCTCCTCCTTCTCCTCATCCCTTTGTGATCAATCCTGTGTTTTTCTTTTGTTTTTGTTTTCTTTTTGTTATTTAAGCCAACTTCCTTTCCCTTGTCCCTCTGTAACCTCAATGTTCTTCTTCATTTCCATTTATTGATTCAGATTCAGTCCAGAGCTGGCCTGTGCCTCGCTGCTCTCCCTTGAATCTGGTCTACAATCAGCTTACCTGGCATATGGAAATGTCTGTCACAGCCACGTGCACATGGATGCACCAATAATCAGCTGTAAAATGCTCTCTGATCAAACTGACTGAAGAAGAGGAGAATATGCAAATGATTTCAACCCAAAGAGAACATTTTGAAAGCGGGAAAAAGAAGTCATCTTCAGACAACTGAGAATTATAAAGGAAGCTCAACTACGATGAACTGCTTTAGGTTATGTTTCAACCAAATGAATAAGGGGGAATAAGTCATGGATTTCCCTCAACACACTAGGCAGAACGTGGCAAATCTGATTTGTTCAATCAAAAATACTCCTCTCAAACACACATGAGCACAGGACAGAAAGGGCAGACAGAAGTGAATTCCCAAAGAACCCAGTGCCTGCTCTGTTATGAAAAGAGTGGCTCAGAAGATCAAATTTAATCCTTTCCCCGCCTCTTGGGAACATCAGGGAGGACTGTAGCTTCATAAAGCAGTAAATATGATACTGGATGCAACCAGTGCATTATAAAAAAAGCCCCCAACATATAACCTCATAATATCAGATACACACTCTTTCAGGCTTCAGCAGAAAGCTGGGTGTTATTCAGCAGGCAGCCTGCGTGGAAATAAACAACAGGCCGAAGCTTCCCACTACAAATCTATTTATGGAAGGTTTAGCCAATGACAGGCCCATTGACACCATACTTTAAGCGTGGATATATGCTCATTCACCGACACTACCAAATAATAACAAACATTGCGTCATTATGTCTGCTGATGCTCACTGAGGGAGGCAGCAGCACGGTGCTGCGGGTTGTGACCCACAGCTCGTTTAGCACTGTTTTAAATTAAAAACAAATCAGCTGCACACATTTTATTTTATTCATTTGTTTTTTGCTACGACTGTAAAACACGTATTATTGTGATCCCGCTGAGAGGCGGTGCTCTCGCTTTGAGACAGCTTTCATACCCGGGAGCAAAAACCCTCGAGAAACCGTGAAATAATAATACGAGGAATGAGAAACAAACACAAATGTCTAACCTTCAAGAGAAAAGCGATGGTTTCTTGTCATGCTGATGAGCATCCTGCGCGCATCGACGATGTCTGCAGTCGAGACTCGCCCCGACTCCCTCTGACACATCAGAGACGTAATACCTACATAGATGGTAATGCCTCCTCCGTCCACTGGGGGGAGATGTCGGCCAGGATTTATTCTCTCCAGGCTTCGTTAAAAGACATTCAAAGCTCTCTTTTAAACGTTGGCTGCCTTTTCCCTTTTTGTTGTGCGTTCTGTCAGAGTTTCTCTGTGTTTTTCTATCCAGGGACAGTTTTACTCCATTCGCAGTGATCTTGAGATCACTGTCATCCTGAGAAATGAAGCTGCTGCCAGTCAGGACATCCATGAACTGCATCTCACAGCTGTACACAAAACAATCCCAAATAATGTTTTTGATGATTGACTAACAAAAAATTTTTCGTCTTCGTTAAACAATCTTTAAACTATCCCTCTAAATTAAATTCAGTGAGTCCTTCGGTGTCATTCAAATCAGTTTCCTCTGCAGGATATATATATATATATATATATATATATATATGGTGGCACCATTCATTCTTTTTTAATGATCAAATGATGCAATTAAATGTTAATTTATGGAAAAAAAAAACATTTTGCAATAGAAGGAATCATGAGGGGTGTTGTGATCTTTCTTTTTTCCTGTGATGACTTGAGTGTACCCATAGACCTTTGTTATTTGTCATTTACACGTGATTTATACGTGAAAGCTGAAACTTCTGTTACCGAAACTCGCCACTGGCCCCTGAACGGCACAGAAACGCCTCGTCCCACCTTTTTTATCTACCTCAGGTGACGCCCAATCAGAGCAGGGCTCGAGGTCTCACCCAATGAGTATCGAAACTCGTGGACTCAGGTAGATCGCAGGTGTGTCGTAGTCCGGCACTGTGAAGAAGACTCGATCATCCAAGGCCAACTTTTGTGAAGTTGGTTAGAGTTATTGAATCTTAACAGCGCTGATATTCACGCCAGTTTGGATTATTGTGAAACTATTATTTAATTTTTGCACTATGAATTTAGTTTTTATCAGACAAGCTGGGACTCTGCTGTTTATTTGCATGATTTTAATTCTTCTGCATGGCTCCAGAGGCGAAATACCTTCTAAACCAATTGCAGCCACGATTTTGCCAACGGTTAAGCCTAATGATGGAGTCCAGACTTATGCAGAGGACCAGAAAAATAATTTACCCGTGTTTACAATGAATTATCCAAGAATCCAGATTCCCTTTGAAATTACTCTTTGGGTGCTGCTGGCTTCTTTTGCAAAAATTGGTGAGTAACAGTCCCATATGTGCCAACAGGTATGGTTTCTCATCTTGCTGCTCCCTGTGACCTTTTTTCCTCCTCTTTTCAGGTTTTCATGTGTACCACAAGATCACCATCTGGGTGCCTGAGTCGTGCCTTCTCATCAGCATCGGCCTGATAGTGGGCGCTATCATGCACTCTGTTCACGAGGAGCCCCCCGCTGTGCTCACCAGTAATGTCTTCTTCCTCTACATGCTGCCCCTAATTGTCCTGGAGTCAGGCTACTTCATGCCCACCAGGCCTTTCTTTGAGAACATTGGCACGGTTCGTTTCAAATCAGGCACTGTTTCTCTAACTCGGGTCAGCTTCCTGCTCAACTTTGACAGTTTTATTGCTGTTTTCATGCAGGTGTTCTGGTTCGCCGTGGTGGGGACGCTGTGGAACAGCATTGGCATCGGCATCTCTCTGTTCGCCATATGCCAGATTCCGGCCTTTGGCGTGCAAGACATCAACCTCCAGGAGAACCTGCTTTTCTCTGCCATCATCTCGGCCGTGGACCCCGTGGCCGTGCTGAACGTGTTTGAGGACGTGTCTGTGAACGAGCAGCTCTACATCGTAGTGTTCGGAGAGTGCCTCTTCAATGATGCTGTCACTGTGGTGAGTGAGCGGATTGCTATTTGTTATTAAAACACTTGACTGTGAGCAAGGGGCAATTGCAAACTGTTCTTGTGTGTCAATTGTTTTGTTCCAGTGACAAATACACAGCCAGGTACCCAGCACAGCAGTGCAGTTTACTCTTCTGCATGTGCTCCACAAAGAGTATATATTTAGCATTTTACACTGATTTAAGAATATTTTTTGCTATTTCTCTCTATGTCACAGTCTCATACATGTAGTTTCCTGTGGAGACCATTTCAACCACCACCCACCATTTACAGACATGGTTAGGCATTTAATTTCATGACTATTACAATAAGCTCAGGTTTCATGAAATACTGGTCATATTTGTGTTTTCCCTTCTCTTCTCCGGGTTGCATGTACGAGGACAGAATGTGTGGGAGAGAACCGTCTGTGTGCTGGCAAGATTTCTAAACAGAAATTACTCAGGGAGGAAAAACTGAAGTAAGGGAATGTTATACACATTAAACAAATGTGTCTATAAAGCACAATTCAGTCCGTTTGCTCAGATGCTGTCAAACCAGTTTCTGGTCGCAGTTACATTTGTTTGTGTGGGTTTGTCCACATGTAGTTTGTCCACAAACTCAGGGATTTAATAAACTCAGAGGAAAGACTCCCACAGCCATAAGAAGCAAACAAAACTTCATTTGCTGTTAATGTTTTCTCCCAAACAGAACAATAGTCTGACCTTGTTAATCTCAGAACTAATCTTTTACAGACAGGCCTACGTGTGAGCCTCTTTGTTAGTGGTGGCTTTTCTATGTGCAAAGAATCGTTATTGTCTGTGTCTTGAACTGGATCTGATGGTCTAGCAGAACTTTTTCCTCTTCATCTTGCATTTAAGTCGTTAATTATCTGCACACGATGATCCCTTTTTATCCAGTTTTGGTACACATCATGCATTTAAAGTTTAAAGTACTCAGTTTTGAGAAATGCAGTGAAATGGTGTGGCTAAATACGCCATCGGGTTCATGCGAGTCAATGTTAGTCACGTGTTTTCATGTAGCAAAAGCTTCATACTGCCCAGGCAGGAATGGTAGATTAAGGAGGAACAAAGCTGGTTACTTTACCTAATGCACCTTTTCCATGACTCAGTCAGTATGTTTGGTGAAAATCTGATTATCAAGTTGCAAACAATGCAGAGTAAATATTTCCAGTAAATCACTCTTATCTGGAAAGGCGTCATTAGAAGCCACAGCGCCTGACACCACATCTGACCTCTGACTAGCATATGTGGGATATGGTGCATAGGTGCAAGAAAGAAAGAAAGTGTGCATATTTATTTATTAATTTTTTAGGTGTTGTACAACATGTTCAGCTTTGTTGCGGAAATGCCGGTGGTGGAGCCGGTGGATGTGTTCATTGGAGTGGCGAGGTTCTTCATTGTGGGGCTCGGTGGGATGGCATTTGGCATCCTGTTTGGCTTTGTGGCAGCCTTCACCACAAGATTCACCTCCAAGGTCCGAGAAATCGAGCCACTCTTCGTATTCATGTACAGCTACCTGGCCTATCTGGTGGCAGAGCTGTTTGCCATCTCATCCATCATGGCGTGAGTAGGTTTTATAACATTTACAGAATTAAAGAAAGAAAGAAGAATAACACAAAGTTTACCCAAATACTCCCCACAAACCCTCTGTGCCCATGTGCTTCTGCAGCATTATAACCTGTGCCCTCACCATGAAGTACTACGTCGAGGAAAACGTCTCGCAGCGTTCCTGCACGACCATCAGACACGTGATTAAGATGCTTGCCTCTATCTCGGAGACGCTCATCTTCTTCTTCTTAGGGGTCGTCACCATCACAACTGACCACGAGTGGAACTGGGGCTACATCCTCTTCACGCTGCTGTTTGCTTTTGTATGGAGAGGTCTGGGTAAGGAAATGACCGGCGTTATCTGTGTCGTGTTAAAGCTCAGGTTTTTGTTTGACTGCAGTTATCTAGTGGAGCAAAGGCTGAGAGCTACTGCTGCTACATGTGCAAAGAAATGCAAGGAAGACAGAAAGTGCTGCTAAGAAAATAAGCTGTGAATGTAAAACTGACAGGTAATCTTTTAATGTGGAATCTAGCCAACCAATATTGAGCCCAGGATGTCTTCTCAGTCTGTTTTGGTTTCCACCAAAAACCACCAAAACTTTGGTCAAAAACCGAGAGCTTAATGTTGTCAAAACGCTTGTTGAATCTGAAAGGAAATGTCCAGACTTCTCTGCTGATTTATCTCTACAAACAGAGTTTTTGGCAACATAATATAATACGCAGAGCAGCTTTAAACTTGTTGATAATGAAACCTCTGATATTTTCTTACCTCTCCCTCTCAGGTATCTTGGTGTTGACTCAGATCATTAACCCTTTCCGCACCATCCCATTCAACATGAAAGATCAGTTTGGTCTCGCATATGGAGGTCTGCGAGGTGCAGTTTCTTTCGCCCTTGCCTTCACGCTTCCTGATACCATTGGCCGCAAGCAGCTCTTTGTCACTGCCACCATTGCAGTTATCCTCTTCACCGTCTTTCTTCAGGTAAGGGAACATCTGTGTAGGTATATTTTTAACTCTGAATAACTTGAATGAAGGTGTTATTTCTTTTGTCCCCGCAGTGGAATGAGATAGAAAATGATTTTTCCTTTAAAATCACATTTAGGAGTGAGACAGAATCTTGGTGAGCTGTTTGGTGTCATTTATTTTTGTCCAGTTAAAAAACAAACAAACTGAGACCCGATTCAAAATTATATGTATTAAATACACTGATAAACTCAAGCTTTTCATTTCTAATCATATACACTGTTATCCTTAGAGAAGAAATACAGAACATTTATTGTATGATATATAAAATGCATGTATGCATCTGAACTTTTACCTTCCAAAAAAGACATTTTACAAAGTTCAACCTCATGGCTGCTAAAATGAGGGGAAATTACTTTGGTTCTAAACTGTGTCTCTTATACTTGTAATCAAAAGTTTACACACAGTCATTATGAGCATGAATGCCATTATAATTTTGGGCATTTATTGATTTCTTTGAACTCTTCTTTTTCCAGGGTGGAATGATTGTACAGCATACATCTTTATTGACTTAAACAAATAAACAATAAAAAGGATTGGCTGCACAAGTACATACACCTTCACTAATATTTAAATGCCCATTACAAAGTTGTACGTCGACCACTTTTGGTAGCC